GGGACACCGCTCTTGCCCACCGTGGGGCTGGAGCACAGTTGAGCGAGGGGAGTGTCCAGTAGTGACAGGAAGACCACAGAGCCAGTCTGGCGGGCCTTACGGGCCAGAGCTGGGGGGTGGGGTAGTCCTCAGTGCCTCGGGGAGCCCCGGGTGAGTTTAAAATAAGCAGAGTGTGGTGGGTCCGATTCATGCTAATCAGATCTCCCCAGCGACTGTGGGGGATTAGCAGGGAGGCCAAAGTGGGGCAGGGAGACCCACTCAGAGACTCTGACCGCACCCACACCTTGCATGTGTCATCAGCCCCCTTTCCGGAGGAGGGGACTGAGGCTCAGAGAAGGCGCCTGCCTGGGGGCCAGGGGGGCAGCTGCCAAGTCTGTTTACTTCCCAGTTCTGTGCCTGAAACCCACACGTTGGCAGGACTAGATGCCCTCCCAGGTGAGAAACAGAGCAGCACGGCCCCTGGGGCACTGGGTACTGAGGGCAGGCAGCTGTTCCAGATCTCTCTGTGGGCCACGAGGTGGCCGACCAGAGCCGAGGCCCCTTATACCCCACAGTTACACAGGACACCTGGGATCAGAATCTGCCTCTGCTGCCGAAGAGCCATGTGGGCCTGCTCCTCTCTGTGCCTCCGTTTCCTCAAGTGTCACACAAGGTGGTTGAGCTGGATGCCCTTCCAGCTCATCACGTCATCCCTCCATCACCCACTAGGTACCCGGCATCTTACTGGGAGTTGACAGTCCAGCCAGGCACTTACACATTCATGAGTAAGGAATTAAAATAGGCACCTCGCCCCTGAGTGGTGACTTAGGGAAGGCTTCTTGGAAGAGGTGGTACCTGCCACCAAGTCTTAAAGGGTTGTAGGAGTTTGATAACAATGGGAGGGCATTGCAGGGAGTGAGGGCAGGACGTGCAGAGGCCAGAGGTGTGGAGGTGGGCCTGGGGCGGGTACCATACATGGTCGACTGTGTGGAGCAGGCCTTGGGGTGGTGGGGGCTGAGAGATGGGCAGGTGCCCACCCTGGGGTTCTGGGGGCCTTGAGGAGTTGGGGGAGCTGTTGCAGATTTTTTTAATTGCAGTTTTATTGTGACATCATTCACATGCCGTAGAATTCAGCTATTTAAGTCGTACAATCCGGTGATTTTTAGCGTATGCACAGAATTGTGCAGCCATCCCCACAACCAATTTTAGAACACGTTCATCACCTCAAAAAGAAACCCTATTCCCCATTAGCAGTCACTCCCCATTCTCTGCTCTCCCCAGTCCTTGGCAACCACTAATCTACTTCTGTCTCTATAGACGGCTATTCTGGACACTTTTCTATAAATGGAAGCACACACTATGTAGCCTTTTGTGCCTGGCTTCTTTCATAAGCACAATGTCGTCAAGGTTCATCCATGTTGTGGTGTGTATCCGAACTTTATTCCTTTTTATGGCCGAATAATATTCCATTGTGTGCCATTGTGGGTTTTTAAGTGACACAGAAAGGTGTGGACTTTAGAAAGCTGGCTGGGGGGGGTGGGCAGGAGGAGGCCAGATGGCCACGCGAGGCTAAGGAGTCGGTAGGAAGAGCTTTCTGGATGCCCGCAGGGGTAGAACAGCTGCAGAGAAGAGCCAGGATGGGGCACTGCTATGGGTGTGGGGGGGGGTGGGGTGGGGGGAGACCTGGTAATTGGCAGCAGGGGCTGAGGGTAGAGAGGAGGCATCCAGAGTTCCTGTGACTGGGTGGAGAGTGATATCACCTTCCCAGATGAAAGAACAGGTTTGGTGAAGCACCAGCTGATAGATAGAGAAACCACAGATGCCCAGTGGGAAGGTGGAGGGGTGGCCGGGCAGCACACCTACTGAAGGAAGGCTTTTGGAGGAGGCAGCCCGGGGAGTCTGAGATGGGGCCAGGACATGGTGACAAGAGAGGACAGCCAGGAAGGCGGCCCAGATGGAGGGGCTGGAGGGGAGAGTGGGCAGCCACCCACCAGCCGGGCCCAGGGAATTGCCAGCAGATGGAAGAGATGTGCTAAGCTGGACAGGCTCTTGCCTGAAAGGGAGCCAGGAGGGTCCTGATCTTAGGAACAAAACCTTTTGGCATCTATTAGGATGATCCTAGATCCCCACAGGAGCCCTGTACCCCCATTCTACAGGAGAGCAAACTGAGGCTCAGAGACGTCATCTGCTTAACTTGAGCCAGAGCTGCGGGCTGCATGCCTTGACTGGATCGTGCCAAGACAGTGGGCTGCCTCTTCAGCCAGCCAGCAGAGGACAGCAGCACTCAGGACCCCAAAACCAGTGCAGCAAAGTGGCGAGAGCCCTGGGCAGGCCCCCAGAACTAGAGCTGCCAATCCCCGCTCAGCGCTCGTGGACCATTGACAAGAACGCAGGTTGCACAGGGTGGTGTGTGTGGTGGTTAGGGAAGCCTCTAGAGTCAGACCACCTGAGACCGAGCCGCTGTAAGCTCACATCCTAGCAAATGACTCCCATCTCTGTGCCTTCACGCCTCCATCTGAAAGTGGGAGTGATAACCTTCCCTCCATCACAGGGCTGGGTAAGGACTGGATGAGTTACTATGGGTTAAATCCTTAGGACGGTGCCAGGATTTCATACGAACTCAATAAATGTTGGCTGTTTCATATTTACACTCTGAAGCCCTGGTTTCCCCATCTGTCCAGTGAAAGACTTAATAACCCCCAGAGCACTCATCATCCTCCTTGGAGTCACGAGAGCCTGGGTGGTTCTATCAAAGTCCTGACTCTGCTCTTGCCTATAGTTCCTTAAAGACTGGACTGGAGCTGGACTCGAGATCCCCTTGGGGCCTGGTCAGGGTGGCATCAGTCAGTGTCTGTTAAGTTGGCTGCCACCTTCTGGAAGCCCCCTCCAAAAGGCAGGTAAACTAGGGCCCCAGGGGGAGGGTGCTGTTTTCTAGCATCCCAGGGGGAGTTGTCTGGGGCGTATACACTGAGTGCTTGTTTTATCCAGCAAGCCCTGAGTTGTAACTACAACCTCTTCCCCCGCCTCACGCCAGACACTGTCCATCACATGGGGTCCCCATGGCCACTTTATGGGGTAGATGCTCTCATCCCAATGAGAAAACTTCAGCTCACAGAGGTTGAACTACTTGTCTGAGGTCACCCAGCAGAATGGTGTTTGAACCAGATACAGTTCAGTAATGCCAGGAACTGTTCTAGGCATTTTTGCCTCAATTTAACCAATGTAATCCTTGCAACAATTGTAGGAGGTAGATATTCTTGTGCCCATTTTGCAGATAAGGAAATAGCTTCAGTGACTGGCCCGAGGTCACACTGCTGGCACAGGCAGATTGGGGATTTGCCAAGCAGCCTGCACACTAACCACCATTCTTCACTGCCTTTCTGTTCACATGATCCCCAAAGCCCAAGCCCTTCCCACTTTAGCAGGCAACTTCAAGATGTATGTATGGAGCATCTGCTGAGGGCCGGGTTCTGTGCTCGGCACAGGGGAAGGAGCCGTGAATCAGACGTGGCTCCCATCCTGAGGGAGCCAAGAGCGTGGCCAGGGGACCCCTTGATGAATAATTGTGGCAGGGGAGTAAACTTTCTGAACTCGAGTAATGTAAGCACCAGGGGCAGGGGTGCCTCTGAGGCTGGAGCTCGTTGAGGGGTTGAGGGGAGGGCAGTTTGCTAAGATTTGAACACGGAGGATAAGCTGGAAGGCTGGGGCTGGAAAAATGATTTAGGGAAACTGATGTTAGCCATTTACATGTGAGAAGACAGACGCTCCGAGGGGTGGAGTGGCTTGCCAGAGGTGACACAGCGCACAGGCCTGGAATGTGATCCAGGTGAACCCCCCTGGCCTGTACGTGGTTTAGCCGCCTTTCACCCCAACGAGGAACTTGCCCATTGCAAAGCGCTTCCCTGTCCACCTTCTCACTTACCCCTTACGTGATCTCTCCTCCACAGGCTCCACAGCAGAGTTGGGATGATGAACTCCAGTAAGCAGCAGAAGAAACTGAGGCCAAGAAAAGGGCAGGGCCTGGACCCCAGGCCTCCTGATGCCCAGCCCAGGGCTGGGGTAGGGTGGATTTGCACACAGGTCCACACAGGAGTGGTCCTTGCTTGTAGAACCTAAGCCCTGAGCTGCAGGGCCTGAACCTACGTCCTGAGCATCCTCCCAGAGCAGGGAAGAAGGCCAAAGCCCCTGGAAGTTCCCAGATTGCTGAATGCCCATCAAGTGCAAACACTTCCCTCCTCAGGCTGTCCCTGGTACTGCAGGCTCCCTTTGGTGAAATAAATTGATCCAACACCTACTGTAATTAACAGCTACTATTCCTTGGGCACCTATACTGTGCAAGGCCTCCTGCCATGTGCCTTACACACTGGACCAAACTCCCCCAGTGGCCTGCAGAAATGGGTCTTAGGATCATAATTTTACAAATAAGGAAACTGAGTCTCGGCCTGGTTAAGCCGCTGGTCTACAGCGCCACGGCTAGCACAAGGCCAAGCTGGGACTCAAACCCAGGTCTGTCTACTTCCAAAGACCGTGTTCTTTTCTGCTCTATAACATCGCATTTCTATGTGGCCTGCACTGTGCTAGGACTTTTCTGCTGTAACGTAATCGTCACAATCCTCTGGAAGCCAGGAATCTAGTTACAAGAATCAGGGCTCAGCCAGCCATCAGTGAGCAAGACTGGGCCCTGGGTCCTGCCCCAGACCTCTTCAGAGTCTTCAGAGTAAGTCAGGATTCACCCTAGAAGCGGTGCCACAGCCAACCTGGAAAAGGTGAAGAGGGATTGCTAGGGATCCCGCTGAACCCATAGACAGCTTCAGAGACAAGAAACCAGGTAGCCTGGAACCTTCTGGGCACAGATAGGACTGCCTTGTTGGAGCCTGGAGACTCCCAAGAGCCTTAGGAGACGGGATTTCCCAACAGTTGCCCTTCATGGCCCCTCCAAGAGACTACATGGTCTCCCCATGCCTTGTGGCCCTGAGTCCTGATCTGGTTTCCCCAGCGACTCTCCTTGTCTCCTCTCCCAGGTTGCCCATCTGGAACCTTCAAGGCCAACCAAGGGGACGAGGCCTGCACGCACTGTCCCATCAACAGCCGGACCACCTCAGAAGGGGCGACCAACTGTGTCTGCCGCAACGGCTACTACAGAGCAGACCTGGACCCCCTCGACATGCCCTGCACAAGTACGCTCGGGGCCCCTGGAGGGTGACGCCGCCCCACTGCATCCTGAGTCCCCCTGCAGAAAGCTCGGCTCCAGGCAGCCTTTCTTGAGCGGGGAGCGGCCCATCACCTGGTGGGAGGGGTAATGAAAAACTGGTTGGAAAAGGACCATCCTGGGGTCGCTGCCCTGCCAACGCGCAGCGACTGTGGAGCTGACATCTGGCTCCGTACCTCCTCCTGCCAGTCACATGGAGGATAAAGTCAAGGTCTCGATTCACAAAGGGATGGTGAATGGGAGGCTTGGCAGAAGGAGAACCAACACAGGTGTGACAGAAAAGCCTGCCCAGTGTTCTAACCTGGCAGCGGCCGCCTGAATCTCAGGCCAAGGTTCTCTAAGAAAGGAGTGACTAGGAGGGCAATCTTACCATCTCCTGTTTAGACAGGAATGGAATTCAGCTGCAAGCAACAGGGAGCTGACCCCAGTGGCTTAAACCGTAGGACTCTATTCTCTCACATAGCAGAACCCCGAAGATAAGCAGTCCTGGGATATTATGGCAAATCCATGGGGTTCTCTGGGACCTGGCTCACTCTTTCTGGGCTGCCATCCTCAGTGTGTGGTTTCTATCCTTTGGGTCACTTCACAGTCCTGCATTGCTGCTGAAGCTCCAGCCATCACACACATTCTAGACAGAGGAAGAAGGAAAGGGACAAAGGGGTGGTTTTTTTACGGTGGTCTCCTTTTAAGAAGTCCTGACCAACAACTTCTCCAGTATATCAATGGCCAGCCCTTCATCATAGGAGCCTAGGAAATTAGTCTCCTAGCTGGACATCTTACCACCCTGAATAAAATTGGGTTCTGTTAGAAGGAAGAAGGGGAAAGAGATACCAGGTGGGTATGATCCCCAACACACAAAGACCAGCCCTAGTAACAAACACCGAGGAGGTTGGAGTCCAGGGGGAAAGCATTAAGCAGATGTGCAGCAAGACGAGAGTTATATTCTAGAAGCATCTCTCAGGGGGATGGAGGGGAGAAGGGATTTGAAGGAAGCCTTTGGGGGGCCTGGGCTGGAGCCAGGGCAGCGGGCGGAGAGCCGTCTCTTGGGAATGTACCTCCGCAGCCCCCACTGACCGACAGACACCTCTCCCCACCTTCAGCCATCCCCTCGGCGCCCCAGGCGGTGATCTCCAGCGTCAACGAGACCTCGCTCATGCTGGAGTGGAGCCCGCCCCGCGATTCAGGGGGCCGCGAGGACCTGGTCTACAACATCATCTGCAAGAGCTGTGGCTCGGGCCGGGGCGCTTGCACCCGCTGCGGGGACAACGTGCAGTACGCGCCCCGCCAGCTGGGCCTGACCGAGCCGCGCATTTACGTCAGCGACCTGCTGGCCCACACGCAGTACACCTTCGAGATCCAGGCGGTGAACGGCGTCACCGACCAGAGCCCCTTCTCCCCTCAGTTCGCCTCCGTGAACATCACCACCAACCAGGCGGGTAAGCCCTTGAGATGCCCGCTCCGGGGGAGCAGGGCCGGGAACCCGAACGGGAACCCCGCCGGCCCCGCTCCGAGCATCCCTCCCCTCTGTGGAGTGGCTTCCGCTTCTCCAAGGCCGAACTCCCCTGGGAGGGTACGCGGCACCTCTCCGTTGCCGTGGTGTTTAGGATAATTGCTGTCGTTTGGTGAACGTGTGCTCTTGAAGGTAAGCGTGCAGCTACTCTCACAAAAAGGCCCGGTGTTCGGTGGCCTCTCTCACGGAAGAGCCCAGGGGTGAGCAGTCCGGGCTCGTGGGTAGGTCCGATCCACTCGGAGACTCGGGGACCCGGGGTCTTCCATTGGCGTTAGCAAGCCCCACGCTCCCCGCCTGTGTGCGTGGTGGAAGCTGAGGCACAGGTGTGTCTGTCTGCAGGAAGGGTGGGAGAGAGCGGACCCAGGGAGGCAGGAGTGGAGCCCATCCCTTCTGGGCACGGGCCCCTGGAAAGAACCTGGTCACGTGGCCTCACCAAGCCGCAAAGGAGGCTGGGCGATGTGATCCTTTCCCGGTGGGCGGTGGGGAGACAGCCAGTAGATATCTAGCAGTTTCCACAGGCGCCTCCTGGGAGCCTTCAGCCCACCCCAGTCCGGCTCCAGCAAGCTTTTCTCCCTCAGCTCACCTTGCATAATCCTTTCTGGGACCCCACGTCGCCCTCCATCTTCTGCCCTGCTTCCTTCGTGGCAAAAAGAGTTGCCAAACGTTGCAGTCTCACTACTATCGCCATTCCCTCTTCAGTCCACTCCTCTTAGGCTTCTGGCCCCTTCTCTCCACTGAGGCCACTGTCCCCTGGGTCACCTGTGACACTTCCCAGCCTCAGCCCCCAACCAAGGACCACATGAGATTTTCAAGGACCGCATGGTACCTGTGGATTGAAAACTGCGAGTGTGGCCCTCAGTTATTCACTCAACAACCCTTGCCAAGCCTTTATTGAGAGCATGGTCTGGGCCCTGTCCAAGGAAGAGCCAAGGGAGGCCAGGCCCCAGGAGAGAAAGTGAGTGGGCTACCCACCTTATCTTCTGAATGTCAAGTGGGGCCCACACAGTAAGTGCTCAGGGGATCCAGAGATGGAGGTCTAGGAAGGCTTCCTGGAGGAGGCAGGATTTGGCCTGACGTTTATAGGACTAATAAAATGTTTAAAGGAGTGATAGAAATGTCTTTTGAGAGTGAGGAAGGGCATGAACAAGAACATGGAAAGAGAGGGGCCAACCAGCTCCAGGTTGAGGGGTACAGTCTCTACATGACCTCACTGCATACCCCTGGCCTCCTTGAATAGGAGGCATCCGTGTCCCCGTTTTACAGATGATGCTCAGAGAAGTTGAGTCACAAAGCAGGAAGGGTAAGGGACAGGAATTAACTAGGTCTACCAGATTCCAGTGCTTGGGCACAATCCAGGGTATGTCCACGGAAACTTGAGTGTGACTGTGGGTCTGACGGTGCATGTGAGTGAGTGTATTTACAAGAATGTGTGGGTGGGTCACTGTATGTGTTTGGGTGACCATGTGTTTATGATTGGGATCACATGTTCTGTGGCCATGTGGCTTCTTATTTATACATGCGTTCATGAGCATGGGTGTGTCTGAATCCGAGGGGCTTGGAACGGGGTGTGTTTGAGCATGAATTTGTATGCCTGAATGTGGTCCTGCCTGTCTGTGTGTTTGTGTACGAGAAGGAGTGTGGTTTTGTTCGTGAGTGTTTGTGGTATTTGCTGTAGCCGAGAGGACATAGTTGTGAGCGTGGGCCTGCTGTTCTTGCAGGGTCATAGGTGCATTTAAGCCCCGCTCAGAATGGGGTCCAGAGGGAGTAGACTCAAGGCACGCAATCCAAGAGAACCCTCAAAAACCAACAGCTGTTGGCAAAGACACCTAACAGATTAGAAAGCCTCAGCTGTGAGGCCCTGAGTTAGGGAAGCCCAGGCTCCCTACTCCCCCCACAGGCTCCAGGGGGTAGGGGGTGGGGGTTCTTTCCCTGGCTCTAGGGACCTCCTCTACACCCATGCAGGAGCCCTGAGGGTGGAACTATCTACTCAAGAAGCCTCAGCTTATTAGTAGCAAAGAGTAGAGTCTGGGCTGCTTGAAGTGGACCCTCCTTTCTGGAGCTGGAAGTTCCCAGAGAACAAAGATGGGATGGAGTGGAAGTGAAGGGCTTCCAGAAAGGAAGGTGCAGGGGTGGGGGAAAAGGGGGAGGTCCTCAGAATTGAAAGACAGAAGCAGTGAGAAATAAGCACTGGATTCAGACCCAAGTTTGAATCCCAGCTTTGCCATTCATTTGCTGTGTGACCTCAGTGTATCAGTCAGCTATTGCTACAATAATGCTGCATAACAAAACCACCCAAACCTTAGCAGTTTACAACAATAAATATTTATATTCTCACTCGCTCGTCTGGGGGGCAGCTAGGGTTTAGCTAATCTGCAGCAGGGCTCTCTGGGCTGGGCAGGACTCCAGAATGTGGGTTGGATTCAGTCTGTTCCATATGTCTCCCATTCCCCTTGAACCAGCCACCACCCAGGCTTGTTTCTGTCATGGTGAATGCTTGGAGTGCAAGCATCCGTGCCAAGCCATGCCACACAAATGCATGCCTCTCCTCTGCCTGTGGCACAGTCACCCACAGCAAATGAACCCTGCAGAGTGACTTGGCAAGGGGTGTGGGTACATAATCCTGTTCCAAGAGGCAAAACTGAGAAAACTGATCCAACCCATCACACTCGTGGAAATCACTGCCTCCCTCGGGGCCTCAATTTTTCCACCACATTGTGCATCAGAATGATACGAGAGCTTTTCCAGAACATAGGTTCCTGGACCCCACCCCAGACCTGTGGAATCAGAATTCCAGAAGTGGGTCCTGGGAATCTGCATGTTTAACGAGTGGCTCAAGAGTTCTTACCATCTGGCAGATTTGGGAAACTCAGGTCTAAGCCCCTGTCTGACCTCAAAGCCCTGAGGCTTTCTGGATCATAAATACCTTTCTCCTTCCTTTTTGTTTCAAGCCCCTTGACAAGCCGACTCTTTCTCAGATGGTCAGAGCCCAGCTGGGGACCATGCAGCCACACCACGCCCTCACCACCTTATTCCCCTTTGCCAGATGAGGAAACAGAGACCCAGAGAGGTGGAGCCACGACTAAGTGGCCTCAACTAGGATTTAAACCCAGAGCTATGGAACTGCAAGTCTACACTGCAGAAGACACAGTTCCTGCCCTTGACGATCTATGCCCTGGTTGGGAAGCTGAGACATGGACACAGCATCTACATACAAGATGCCATGAATGAGGGCCCAAGGAGGTATCGGGGAGGGGAGAGAGATCACAAGCAGGAGAGAGCATTGCCTCCTAGGGAATGGGAAAAGGGCAAATCATGGAAGGCTTCCTGGAAGAAGAGGCATTTGAGCTTGGCTTTGCAGAATGGAGATGCTTAGAAGAAGCAGAGATGGAATCGTGCAGGGAGAAGGTGTCCCAGGAGAGGGAAGTGCAGGAGGTAGGCTGGAGGGCGAGTTCTTTCTGTTCCTCCTGAGCACAAGGTACCTCCACACATGGTCCCTCTGCCTGGATTGCTTTTCTCCTCACCCTTCTTTCAGACCTTAGCTCATTTTTATTGACCTTCCTCACTTGATCACACACCCCCAGCACCGTGGCCCTCAAGCCTCCCTAGTTGAGATTTTAGCCTTAAGTCTTTGATCATGTCATTCCTGTCTGTCTCCCCTGCCATCAGCGTGTCGTGGTACACAATGGGTCTGCTTTTCCTTACTTACCACGGTTTTCCCGGCACCTGGCCAGGGGCGCACCACAGCGAATGCTCAGTGAACATTTGCAGAAGGGCTCAGAGAAGCGTGGAGTGAGGTGGGGTGTGGAGAAGTACAACAGGCTGGAAAGCAAGGCTGGGGACTTGATTTCCAGACAAATGCACTCAGTGGTCGGTTTTAATCAGACCCTAAAATTCAATATATAAATATCTAGCTCATGGCCTTAAAAGGAAAAAGTATTCCTTTTGGGCAAGTGGCTGGGCCTTGCTCACACTCCCTTGGCATTCACCGGGGCCAGAGCTGTCTTCTGACTTCATAAAGCCATCATGTCACCTCTGAACCACACTCCACCATTCCAGAACACCTTTCCGCCCCGTATTCATGCGTCCTCTCAGGGGCCCCTGGAGAGAGGAGGCCAGGCTGGGCTGCACATCCCCACTTGACAGAAGAGGAAAACGATGTGGGGAGAGGTCAAGCACACACCCAGTGTCACTCAGCTGGCAAGGGGCAGCCCCGGGATTCAGGCTGCTGTCCAGAGTCTCTGGTCCTTGACACAAACAAACCAGACAACCTAGGGGATGGGAGGGAGGAGGGAGACCTTCAGGGCAGGCATCAGAAGAGAGACTCTCTGAGGAGGTGGCATTTAAGCCAAGATCGAAATCACAAGGCAGAGACAGCCGTTCAGACCAGGGGGCGCGTGCAGCATTTCAGTAACGTGGGGCTCGTCCTCAGGGCCGTGTCCAGTCCTTTTGGCTGCCCTCCAGGGCTGCGCTGGACATGGTCTCACCCGGAGCAAGCTCCGGGCAGCCGCACCTCTGCCCAGTTCCAGCAGGGGTGGGGAGGGTCTGGGTTTGGGAATCTGGCAAACAAACCTGGCTTTGAATCAAGCCTGGCTGCTCACTGGCACACAGCCTTAGACAAGTCACTTAGCCCACGTCTGAATGCATCTCCTCGTGAGCGTCACCACCCCTCCTTGCGGGACTGCTGGGAGGCTTTGAGCTCATGTCTCAAGGTGCCTCCCAGGCTGCCTGGTACATGCAGGCGGTCAGAAAGCAGAGATCGTTCTGTGTTCCCCCTAATCATAATAATGGCTCCCATGGTTTACTACGTGCCAGACACTATCCCAAGTCCTTGACGATACATCTTCACGACAACGCTAGGAGGTGGGTCCTATCATCATCCTGTCTCACGGGTAAGGAAAGTACGGCATCGAGGGGGAGGCGACTTGT